TATTCTTAATACAATAACTAAAACAATCTTTTTTTTTTAATTTTTTTAACGTTTATTTATTTTTGAGACAGAGAGAGACAGAGCATGAACGGGGGAAGGTCAGAGAGAGAGAGAGACACAGAATCTGAAACAGGCTCCAGGCTCTGAGCTGTCAGCACAGAGCCCAGCGCGGGGCTCAAACTCACGGACCGCGAGATCATGACCTGAGCCGAAGTCGGACGCTTAACCAACTGAGCCACCCAGGCACCCCTAAAACAATCATTTTAAAACCGAATTTTGATCATGTCATGGCTCCACTGGAAACAACCCAATGGCTATCTATTTAATTCAGGGCAAACACCACAGCCTTTAATAAGAGCCTAAAAGCCCTGCATGAGCGGGTCCTTTACCTTACTTTTTGACTCATAGTGTCTTATTCTCCCTACTGCTCATTTCTCTCTGGCCACACTGCCCTTCAGTCTGGTGTTCCTTGAATATATCAGGTGCATCGCATCTCAAGGGCCTTTACACTTACTGTTCCTACTATCTAGAAAGTTCTCCAACACTGCCATATGGCCTACTACCTCAGTTCTTTCAAGTCCTTTTTCAAATGTCACTTAGTGAACTTCTTAGTAAGACTTTCTATGAACACCCTTTTAAAATTGCAACCTCCCCTTGCAGGTAATCTCTCTTGTATTTGTCTTCTTATCATCATCTGATACATTAAATATGGTTCTTATTTAGTTGTATTACTATTATTTTCATGATTCTCATTATCTTCCTCTGTTCTTCAGAATACCCATTCTATGAAAACAAGACATATTGGGTGCTCTTTAGATAAATTGCAAAATAATTAATGATTAATAATTAATTGCAAAATAATTATTTTAGTCAAAAACCTAAGAAAATGAAGTGGAATGCTCTAGGTTTTCTATCTACATTGCTCAAATGATTGAGGACTCTTATTTTGATATAGTCCTTCTTCTACCAACAGGCATAGAGTAGAAGCCTTGAAGGGCAATTGACAATGAAAATACACTGATGCATATATTGTATAATAAGGATTCTTGGTATCCTTAATATATATATAAAACATATATTATAAAAATATATTTATATTTAATGTATGTTTATATTTAGTTATATATATATATTTTTTCAACGTTTATTTATTTTTGGGACAGAGAGAGACAGAGCATGAACAGGGGAGGAGCAGAGAGAGAGGGAGACACAGAATCGGAAACAGGCTCCAGGCTCTGAGCCATCAGCCCAGAGCCCGATGCGGGGCTCGAACTCACGGACCGCGAGATCGTGACCTGGCTGAAGTCGGACGCTTAACCGACTGCGCCACCCAGGCGCCCCTATATTTTTATAAAATAAAACTTTTATAAATTTTTATATATTTTATATTATATATTTTATATTTTATGACTACATTTTATATATTTTATATTTACATTTTATATTTATATTTAACATGTTATATTTATAATATATATTATAAAAATATATATTTACATATATATGTCTATATACATATCAAGCAGTATCAAGCAGTATAAGGGTCATTTTTCAGGTGTCATATTCTAGAATGTCTGCTATATAAGGTTTTCCAGGTGCTCCATGTCCCAGGGCATCTGAAACTGTATTTAGCGTTCCAATTTAAGAAGGTTGTGTGGTTTAGTAGAAAGAACATAGACAGCTGATTTGAGATGACTTTACTAGCAGTCAGTAACCAGGAAAGGTATTAAACATTCTGTGTTTCAATTATGTCACATGTAAATCATGTCAAATAAAACGGTACAATCTATAAAATGCACATAGCAAATCGCTCGGTACTTAGACAATGATTAAATGTGAAGCATCTCAGCTATGGAGTCAGGAATATCTGAGTCCAAACCTTGGGTCTGTCACAGATTTTGTTTATGGCCTATACCTCTCTCACATTCCACATTTTTAAGATCAGGTTGATTACTTCTAATGTGCATTTGTGAGATATAAAAACAAAAGGTAAGTCACCTACCCACTATTGCAGCTCCTGTGGTCAGTAGATGCACACAGAATGGACTTACCTATAAAGCCTCTTCTATTAAATTTTTTCCCTCAGGATATTATAGTAACTGATGCACATCTTAACTAACTAGGTCATTGAGTCTAGGGAAAATACTTCCTTATTAAGTACCTACACAACAGGCTTTCAATAAACATTTATGGAATTCATAAAATGTACAGAGATTGTGTTTCTTGTGTGGAATTTAAGCAGGAGACCATAAAGTGCATCTTTGAGAAAACAGCAGTAATCCAGTCTGGAACTAGGTAATTGAATTTCTAGATGCTTTCTAGAAATTCAGCTATGTAGCATTTCAAAAACTTCATTTGAGCAAAATTTTTATCTACCTCAATATGTGGTTTCCAGATAACTTGAGAGGGCTGAGTCTGAATTTGCAGACAGAAGTTCCAGACTCAAAAATTTTGGTTCCAGAAAAGGAATACACACACACACACACACACACACACACACACACACACACACACACAGTTTTTTACAATCCAAATTTTTTACAAAGCTTATGGTCTGACTGCAAAGCAATGACTTATGGATTGTAGTGTCTGTGATGGACCTTGATGGCTACTGTCAGGTGTAGTCTAAAAGCACTTCCTTATGAGGAAAGAAATGGAGTGGATAAACTTAAATATATTATACAATGGTCAAGATTTGATAATAAAATAACTATCTGTCCATAGTAACTACCATCTATACATAAATGGTCTTTAAAAAAATTCTAAAAGCTTCAAAAATAGACTCTAAAATTTAGGACTTTTAAAAAACCCTCAGAGGACACACAAAGTTATTCTGCTTTGTGTATTAAGCATACACATCCGGCTTTTTAAGAAGGTAGCAATTTTGTGCTTTGTTCTAGCTTGTGAATAAATCAATATATATTGCTATGTATACAGAAACCAAGTATTATATTATTATTACATCTAATGCAGAGTAAATTCAAAATTTCAAATATCACTATACATCAGTCATGGAAATCTGAAAAACAGGGACTAAAATTTGGGGAAAGGAGAAGCAGATTATATTAACAATATGAGAAAGAAGCTTATAATTGAACATTGATGGATGCAGCATGTCAAAATGATTTGGAAAGGATTTCCAAATGAGGCAGATTATGGTGAGTTCCAAATTAGAAACAGAACATACTAAGGGAAGAAAACCACTGATGAAAGAATTACTTCTCTGTCTTCTGAAGCCATTCAACCAGAGGAGCTATAGAATATTCCCAGGTCCTCTCCTGCCAAGTGAGTTATGATGGAATTTAAAAATCAAGTTCACATCAGATTTGTGGAATGGAAAATATTTTAGTACCAAATCAACAATGTATTTTAGAGCAATAGGCTATAACATTTTTGGACAGATGTTTATTCTTATGACGTCATGAAAATTTAGGGGAATTTTCCTGTCTCTGAATGCCTTACTATATTATCTCTAAAAGCCTTTGTTGAGTGCCTTCCTCTGTAATAACTATCCCAGGAAACTGGGATTTATAAATTTAATCATCTTCCAGGATGTATTATATAATTTTGGACCAAAAACATGTAATACTTTTAGTTTCACAGTAGACTAGAAAAAAAAAAGGCATCAAAAGTCAATGTGCTGTACATTTGGAATCTATAGTTGATGACTTCATTGATTCACTTTCTATCTACTATGCACGTATTAACTTCTCTCTGGGTCCAAAGACAGGTGTCTAACATTTATTTCCCTAATTCAATTTGCAACCTTCTTTTCACTATGGAACATTTTGCTAGAATTCACCAATATCTATTTCCTTTTAACCAAATTTCATTCTATTTTCATAATTCTACTTTTGTGAAAATTGAGTTCAAAGCCCACATTAGCATCAACAATGCTTTATCTGCCTTCACTAATTGCTTCATGCCCTTGACTGTGCCAATGTACAAGCAGATTTCTAGACTTGCATAAAAAGATTAGCCAGTAACTGCCTCTACAGTATTCCTTATGTGTAATTTAAATGCTAGGGTGCTGAGGTGGCTCAGTGGTTGGGCATCTGACTCTTGATTTCGGGTCATGATCTCACGGTTCATGAGTTCGAGCCCCATATCAGGCTCTGTGCTGCCAGTGAGGGGCCTGCTTGGAATTCTCTCTCTTCCTCTCTCTCTGCCCCTCCCCCATTCATGAGCATGCATGTTCTCTCAAAATAAACTTAAAAAAAAAAACAGATTTTAAATGCTTCCTATTCTTACATCTACAAAAGCAGCCCAACTGATTCCTCTCTCATTTAGATCATAATAAAAATATAACCTCTATCAGTCAATCCACCTAAAAGGACAAACAGATGCCTTTCTTTTATTTCCAGTGGGCAATAATGGGACCCCTATGTTGAATTTTCATATGTGATTCAACTGCTTTATCAAACAAATGTTGCTGGTGTTGTTTTAATTCTATTATCCATATGTCTAAGATATACATGTTAACGGTGTTTGAATTTGTTATTTTTCTAGAACATTACCTTGGGTGATACAATTTAAGACTATCATTTTGACATGATACTAAAACCATGAAACTATGAGTACCTCCTGAATAAAAATCCAATTTTCAGAATCCAAGTTTATTTTACACACACACACACACACACACACACACACACACATATATACATATATGTAATTTATTTACATGTGTAGGCACTTTATATTTGATATATATACATATGTATATATATTTACATGCCTATTTATATACATTTGAACATTTTAAATATACACATAAGTTTTTATAGCATTTATAAATTGTATATACATAGAAATCAATGTGTGTATTTAAAAATATTTATATGTATATAAATCACACACAATAAACAAATCCACTCTTTAAATAACACATATATAGCATAATAGACTAATTCATTTTTAAATACCAATAAATCATCATCTATTTACTATCACACACCATATGCAAGACAGCATGGTGTGAATTCGCAGCTATGAATTACCTCCTCTTTTCTTGTGTCACGTCCTTTCTGCACAAACCAGATAACTTTGGCTTGCAACGATCGTGGGGTACATTCCAGCAAAGTACTGTTGTTCTCTATGCCATAGGCCAGTCGCTCTTCAGTCTTATCCAAAGCATCCCCTACAATATACATGTTAATATTAACCTTAAGACTTAAATTTTACCAGTAATATGTTTAAAAGATTATTTATATCTCTGCAGCAAAGTATCTTTCATTACTTACTGCTAATTTCTATGCACAGTCACTTAAAGTAGTTATTTAGAGACAATGGCATACCAAAATCTAGGCTTTAAAAAGGTAGTGCAGGCTATGGAGAGGACCAGAAGGAAGTAACTGGGAGTGTGGGTCCAAAGGACAGGCAGTCAGTCAGAAAGTACGTCAGTGTTAAATGCATGGAGAATCAGTGACAATATCCACTGATAAAGCAGGCAAGAGAAGGGGGGCACCAAACATTCATGTAAGACACAGGATAAACAAAATTCATGGTAACAAACAAAAATAGAAGGCAGAAATCGAGGTGATACAGCATTACATAAACACAAGCTTGAGTGAGATTTTGTCAAGGGATTGCACTTTATCTAGATATTGGGTTCCTGCATTAAGAAAACAGTACAAAACTGAACTACAGACTTCATGACCCACAGCTTCTTGATTATAATCTATATCTTGGTCCAGAGAGGCTCTCACTGGACTTGAACTCTAATGTGCATATGGGCAAGTACACTTAACTGCAGTGGGGAATAAAACCAAGGGGACATATTCACTGGTGTTTTAACCAGTATCAAATTTATTAACCACAACCTGGGATTTTTTTCCCTTACGCCGGAGTCCTCCTCACTTTCAAAACTGACCCCTAAGTCTTCCTAGATGAAGATCTTACCTTCCTCCAGCCAATGTTCTCAGAGGCTTACATTCTGAACCAAACCCTCAGTCAGCCTTGGGTCTAGCGAACTGAGGCTGTGTAACCTCTGCACTGTGCATAAGCACTGCTGGTCTCCCAGTCATGATTCTTCATCTCTCTGTCACCTCCTGGTAAAACTGGTGATGCAAATCACAGCCTGTTCCAACCACCAACATGGTGTGAGGAGTCAAGAGCGTAGTTTTCTGTGTTGTCTGACTTCCTTACATTTGCTGGAGTTGCAATTTCCTCTCATCCTTTACTCATCAGACCACCTATTACCTTCCCTCAGAAACTCACATTTGCACCATCAGCCTGAGCTGTAGGCTTCCTTACTCTAGTGGAAGAGTTAAAGCTTTTCATTTTGTTTTATCCCAAAGCTTAGTGGTGACTTGATATAAGCTGGATCACTCTTGAAAAGATTATTGTAGGTTATGTAACATGGTAAAGATATTCCCAGGGTTGAGATGGAGACAGAGGTCCTACAAATCACTGAATCTTTTCTAAGATTCCCCTGTTGTGAGGTCCAACAGCAAGGTTTCGTGGTGGCATACAGAACTTACTTTCCTAAGTAATTAAAAATTCTATGTCCACATATAGTTAAAAATTTTGTTTTAAAATTCCACTATGTGGAAGAAAAAAGGAATACTTGCAGTAACACTGTTCTAGTACATATCAATCACAAAGAAAGTAAAGACCCTTTTAAAGAGTTTCCAGTGTCTCTTCACTGTACACCCTGAGTAACCCATAGCAATTGATTTTCTATGGATTACCGACAAACTGCTGTCCAAAGCATTGCTGAGCTGCGTTGCCATGCCGAACATCTTGTCTGCGGAACCGCCTGGAAGAAAGTAAATGTGCTGAGGAGATGTTCAGATTTCAATTTTCCAGACTTTAAAATACAGCTAACCACATAAAAGATACAAGTAGTATTCTGCTACTGAAAAAAATTGATCAGTCATACAAAACAAGGGTAAAATTCAAGTTTCATAGTTTCCCATATTTTCATTGAATGTTATTCAATGGATAAGATCTACATTCAACTTCTCTTTAAGTGTCCATGTAAGTTTGAATTCTGGATCCTGAAACAATTATTATTTTTTTAAAGTTCGTTTTTTTTTTTTGTTTGTTTGTTTTGTTTTTTTTGTTTTTTTTCAGAAAGAGAGAGCAGGGGAGAGGCAGAGAGAGAGAGAGAGAGAGGGAAAGAGAGAATCCCAAGCAGGCTCCATTGCTGTCAGCACAGAACCTGATGCAGGGTTCAAACTCATGAACCATGAGATCATGACCTGAGCTGGAAACAAGAGTCAGATGCTTAACCAATTGAGCCACCCAGGAACCCCCTCCAACAATAATTAAAGAAAGCTCTCTTTCTGTTTTGTTAAAAATCTAGTGCAACAAGAATTCTTCTGTTTCACATGGGTGTTTTGGGTGGTAGGGAAGGTATGCCAAAAAGACAATGGGATTTGAGGCAGACTATTTGAATAAAAAATCATAAAACTCCTTCATATAATGGAAATGCATACAAAAAAGGTAAGGGTATTTGAACCCAAATATTTTGTTTGATTCTCATCATAATCACATAGCAAAAATATACTTAATAAAAAGAGATACACTAATAATATATTCAACTTACTCTTTTATTCAGATATTATGTGTAGAGATTATTTGCCTCTATTCAATGTGATTGTGTGTTATACATATTTAATAGGCTGTCTTTCAAAACTGTCTATTAGATTTAGGATCACTTCTGGTGTATTGTCATATTTTATAGATTGCTTATAAATATAATAAAAAAAAACATTCTTTATCCCTGGAGAAAAAGTTTATAATACAGATCTTGTTTTAAATTTGCAAGCACCTTTCTGAGGGATTAAACAATAGAAATTATTATTAGTACTGAAATTCTAAACTCAAAATTCTCAGTATATTAATTTAGATTAGAGATAAAAATAGAAGTATTACATAAAGGCAAAAAATACCACTTGCTTTTCTAAATCATGGCATTTCTTCAAGATTGAGGGAAAAACAGAAGGCAAAGCAGAAGTTTCACCACAGAGGGAGATGGCGAGGCTTCCAAAGTGACAATGAGATGCTTTAACCATATGCAATGATGAAATTTGAAAAAGGAACCAGATTCAAATCCCAATGCCATCACTCACGTGTTGTTTGATCTTATACATATCTTGTCTGTTTCTTGGTTCTTTCTGTCCCCTTTGTAAAATGAAATTTATCTAAATGACATCTAAAATCTAGTCCAGTCTCATTTTTTTTTTTTTCATTCTAGGCTCTCCTCACTGCTCCAAATGATGATAATGGAACATCATTTCAAGAGATGGAGTGCTTTCTCACATATAAGTTCAAATCTTAGTTAACTTAAATAATAATAATACTTAAAAAAAAACTGGTTTAGGGGCACCTGAGTAGCTCAGTTGGTTAAGCATCCAACTTTTGATTTTGGCTCAGGTCATGATCTCACAGTTTGTGGGATCTAGGTTTGAGCCCTGTTGGGCTCTGCGCTAACAATGGGAAACCTGCTTGGGATTCTTTCTCCCTCCTCCTTCTGCTCCTCCCCTATGAGCACGTGCATGTGCTCTTTTAGAAAACAAAACAGAAAAACAATGGCTTAAGTATTTCCTTATATTATAAGCTAAAGCAGATGAATATTTCCAATCAATTTTTAGAATTATGACCTGTGTGCAAAAGCATGCTGTTTCAAAATCGAGATTGTAGAAGAATTTATCTTAAAAACATGGTATTTTATAAAGATTAAAACTGCTGTATGAATCATTCTATTGATTTAAATTGAAAAAACAACTTGACAAAAAAGGAGCTAAAATTAAAAGTTTTACGCTTCTTTATCGTGTTACACTAGCATGTACACAGCTATGTATAACTGAGAGCAGATCTGGGTAGGAATTATACCACTGTTGTTGATCTCTCACTCCATTAAGTATTGTTTTGGTCCTGGGAATGTAAAGTCTACTGAGCATTAAAGAATAATGGAGCAGGGGTAAATCTGTGAAATGGGAAATAGTTTCTACTTTGAAGAAATGTTGTATCAGGTTTATTACACAAATGATGTGAGAGTGAGGGGAGATGGAATAGGATAGTTCTAGATAAGAGATGTGGATAAGAAGCATGCAAAAGTTTTGTTTAAATTCACTGAAAGAGAATGCATTTTAAAAAAAAGGTATCACATCCCCCAACAAGGTTTCAGTTCATTTTATGCTATCTTAATATAACTGTCTTTTATTTCAGGGTTTTAAAAAGACTGTAAGTGTTCAGGACTTTTAGAAAGGTTAATCAAAGTGGCCTTTTATTCTCAAAGTCACATATTTTTCTTATATCTCTTGCCACTTAGAAACTTTTTAAGAGAACACCGGAAATAGACAAAATGCGAGAGCAAGGGGAAGTAAAAGATTTAGCTCTATAATTTATAGTGTATTTTGGAAGACTATTTTAAACAAGTGGTTTGGATTGTGAATTAATGTTTTTTCTCTGTTGACTCATTTTCACTCTGTGAACAGAAAAGTATTTATTTTAATGACTAGTTTTCGATTTCTGCTGCTCGTCAGGTCTGAAGCAAAAACGAGCTGCTATAAAAGCAAACTATTTTCCCTTAGTGTGCTGGAGCCTATCCAAAATGTTCTCCTCCAGGGGTGGATGATGGTTCAAAAGAATCTGACACCATGGAAAGATCTCCATTACATGTCACTGAACTGAACTAATTCATTTATGAGCACAGCTCCTGACTCAAACATTGTGCTCCTTCCTAAGATTTTGCCCCTTCATTTAACTTGTACTAAATAACTTTTTGTCCACCCTTTATAAATATATCATCAAGCTTGTGGATATCTACTCTAATAAGATGCACCATGTATCAAGAAATATTTAGCTTTGGAAACTGCTCAGTTAGAATTCATCACCCCTACTGCATGTTATTACAATAACAAAATACAAAACTTGTAATTCATAAGTATTTGATTCAAGTCTTGCAAACATTGTTATTGTTGCTAATAACAATAAAATAATTAATTGTATTATTTTTGGTGAAATGACCTTTCCACCCTTCAAACCAGCTACTTTACTCCTAACCTATGGAAATACATGGTTTTCCCTGACCATTCTATGCCTTTTATATAAATTCCCTTTAACTAGACTCATATTTCTAACTACAAGACTAAGCTCAAAGGTTGAGTTATTTTGAAAATCAAATACTATATAATGGATATTGCACTTAGTTCAGTACCTTATGCGTGGTAAGTGCTCAGTAGTGACCTGCTATCATTCTTATTTCCAATTCCATTCTCCACTTTAGGTTCTGATCCTGCAGCCAAGGAGTACTGACTTCTTCTTCATACTCCTCGCACATAGTACAGTAGTTAGCATAATGGGTGAATAAATCATTGAACAGTATTTTTACATAGTAACATGGCTATATTCCTTAACAAGAGTTTTTAAATATTAATAAGCATTTGTACAAGATCAATTAATTTGCTCACTGTTTTTTTTTTTTAACTTTTACCTATTTTTGAGAGACAGAGAGCATGAATGAGGGAGGAACAGAGAGAGGGGAGACACAGAATCTGAAACAGGCTCCAGGCTCTGAGCTGTCAGCACAGAGCCTGACATGGGGCTCGAACCCAAGACCATGAGATCATGACCTGAGCTGAAGTCAGACGCTTAACCAACTAAGCCACCCAGGTGCTCCTTGCTCAGTTCTTTAAAATGGTTGGTAAGTTTAGTTTACAAATGTCCCCTCAAAGTTTCTTTTCACTATCTGTTTATTATGTACTTTCATTAAGTATATAATGATTTCATTAAGTATATAATATATAACATTGGAGTGAATGTTAATGTAACCAATGTCAAGTTAACAAAACTTCTGAATTAGTGGCTACATTTATTAAAAATGAGATTCTACTATATATGTGAACTTATAAAAATAACAACTATATTAAGGTGGGTTAGATTTTTAAAAAGGTTTGAAGTAACCCACAGTGGAAGAATCAAAATTACTGAAATTAATAAAAATTAATTTTCAGTAAGGAAACTATACACAGTCCTATGTTTTTGCTTTATATTGTCTTCTGTCACTTGACTAGGAGAAAAAAAAATTGCTTATTCTATAATAAATAAAAATATCTTCCTTTATGTTGTCCCCCAAAGAATGAACAATTTCATACGGCTCAAGTGAGGGAAGATCTCCAACCTTCAAAATACTTTCTGGACTTCAAGATTTCCTGTTCAAAGTATACCGGGATTTACCTTCTCTTACAAGTGGCAATGACCTCGCTGAATTGTAGACATTAGAGTTTGGAAGTCTTTAAGTACCTTTCATTTGTGTTGACTTAAATCACACATTTCATTAATTATACAGGTCATGCATTTGCCTAGGAGTTAAAATATTCACTTTCAAAATGAAATAAATGAAGACCAGCTGGTTGAGAGGACACGGGGCGAATGCAGGATGTATTTTAGAATTTATTTATTTATTTTTCTTTTAAGTCTTTGAATCCCTCATGTGTGGTGCCTTGCCATTTCCACATTTTAAGTTTATCCAAACTGGTTTCATGTCTTGCAGGAAAACCGTCAGGAGGGAGAAGAGTCGATTCAAACATGAGTAAAGAAAAAGGACTCAGCAGCATGCTCCACTCCAATCTCCACACAGTAATTGACAGGAGTTATTTTCAGGGAAAATTCAACTTTCAAAGCTTGTATTATGAAGAAAACATTACTATGACGGATTTTTTAAACAAAAATAACATGGGTATTTTCATGGAACGTGTGCAGAAAGAAAAATATTTTAAGAAATAGTATGGGTTTTCTAAACAAGGTAAATATCCCCTCGAGGACTCTCTCACCTTTTTGCATGAGTGCCCGTTGGGTAATACCGGGAACAGGATATGCCATCCCAGGCACAGTATGGGTCTCGAGCCAGGCAGCAATCCGCACAAGCACTTCCATACATGTCGCACTGATGGAATCTCACTTGGGCCACGGCAGAAGCAGATCCGATATACAGCTGTTGCTAGAGACATCAAAGAACAGAGAGGCCACTAGTAGAAACGGACAGAACTTTCAGTGATCTTCACCTCTGTGAATATTCATTTAAATTACTGCAGTTACTGAGGATGGATAATGGAACACCGAAACTTCCATTTTTTCTAAGATGGGAAATACTCCTACAGACCTGGAAGCTCGAGCAACAAAACTGCTTAACTGAGCTTGAGAAAATCTTAGGAAGCTGACTCTTCTTTTGTTACCTAAATAGAAAGACTCATCAATTAACGCTGTAGGCCTTTTTAAAAGACCTGGGGGAACGTCCAATAACAGACTGGATAAGTAAATGCTCTTTTGTTGTTGCATCTTTTTTTTTTTTTTAATTTTCTTAATGTTTTTTTAAATTTATTTTTGGGAGAGAGAGAGAGAGAGAGAGAGAGAGAGAGAGAGAGAGAGAGAATATGAATATGACTGTGAGAGGGGCAGAGAGAGACAGTGCGACAAAGAATCTGAACCAGGCTCCAGTCTCTGAGCTGTCAGCAGAGAGCCCGATGTGGGGCTCGAACTCACAAACTGCGAGATCATGACCTGAGCCGAAGGCAGATGCTCAACCGACTGAGCCACCAGGCGCATATTTTCATGTTTCATATTTTAAACTGAGATGTAATTAACAAATAACATTATATTAGTTTCAGTGTATACATAATGATTCCATATTTGCATATTGGGAAATGATCAACATAATAAGTCTGGTTAACACTCTACAACACACAGGTAGAATTGTTCTTGTGTGGTGAAAACTTTTCAAGTAAGTATTAGGGTTTTTATTTAGTATAATCACCATGGCATACATTACATCCCCAGGTCTTCCTTTGTAACTGGAAGTTTGTACCTTAGGATCACCTGCACATTTTGCCCACTTCCCATCCCCTGCCTCTGGGAGCTGCCAAACTGTCCTATTCATGAATTCGTTTTCTGTTGTTGCTTTGTGTGTTTTAATTCCACATATCAGTAGGTTTGTATGGTTTTTGTATTTCTTCGACTTATTTCACTTAGCATAATGCCCTCAAGGTCCATTCACATTGTCACAAATGGAAGGATTTCCTTCTTTTTTGTGGCTGAATAATGTTCCAATATTCCACATATATACATCATTTTCTCTATCCATTCATCCATTGATGGCACTTAAGGTTGTTTCCATGTCTTGGCCATGTTAAATAATACTGCAATAAACATGGGTGCAGATGGCTTCCAGAGTGAGTACTTTGTTTCCTTTGGATAAATACCCAGAAATGACACTGCTTAATCATATGCTGGTTCTATTTTTAATAAATTGAGGAAACTCTGCACTGTTTTCCATATTGGCTGTAGCAATCTACACTCCAACCAATAGTGCACATTAACACTAAACATTTAAAAGAGTAACGAAGATACATACAGAGAGAATTACATGGAATCAACTGTAAGATCTGTTGTGAAGTAAATACAAGTAGCAGAGCAATGAACGTTGCATGTTCTTGTTCGCCTAAACATAAAAGGTTATTTATAAATAAATTTGAGGGAATATATGTACCAACTACTTCTGGAAAAAGTTTCACCAGTAACTGGTTCTAGTAAAGCGGAGAGGCGTTTGTGTTTCACTGCACATTCTTTTGTGTTACCATCATTACCGTTATTTTTGCCCTTAAAAATGTTAACAAGGGGCTCCTGGGTGGCGCAGTCGGTTAAGCGTCTGACTTCAGCCAGGTCACGATCTCGCGCTCCGTGAGTTCGAGCCCCGCGTCGGGCTCTGGGCTGGTGGCTCGGAGCCTGGAGCCTGTTTCCAATTCTGTGTCTCCCTCTCTCTCTGCCCCTCCCCCGTTCATGCTCTGTCTCTCTCTGTCCCAAAAATAAATAAAAACGTTGAAAAAAAAATTAAAAAAAAATGTTAACAAAAAAATTACAGAATAACATCCTATCATGATTATAGAGGTAAATCTATTCTCATGTACTTTCCTCCAATAAGAGAAAATAAAGAAACCTATTACATGTAAACCACTATGTATTTTTACTAGAATACAACTGTAACTTGTTTATGTATAAACACATGTACTTATGCTCTTCATTCTTGCCTTTACTCACATATAGAACACAAACACATACACACAACTTACTCTCTTTGAAGAAATCTCCATAGAAATAATAGGAACTGGATCCTGCAAGACATTTTTTAAAGTTGTTATTAAAGAAACATAGGAATATACCTTAATATGGTTGCAATCATCTGAACTCCTATTAGGTATGTGAGTGGTTCTATGCTAGTCCATAGCTTTCATTTTAGCAAATCAATAGGAAAACATAATTACATTAAAATATAGCTTTCTTTAAAAAAAATCTTTTTAATGGAGTAGAACAGATATGTAAGATGAAAAAAGTAGTGGCTAATCTAAGTAGCTTACCATTTGTTTCTGAAATGTAATTTTTGTATTTGGGTTTGAATATTACTCTTGTTTGGGAAACCCAAATATCTCTAAATAAAATAATAAAGGCACAGCATTCTTTCTTACAATTTGAACCAGTAGAAGTGAGACAGTTATGTCTTTCAATTGGTGTTATTATTAGGAAACCATGTGATCTTTAATTGTTTTAATCCAAGTCTAATCAGAATACTTTTCTGTTGGGAGTTATTGTGGTCAAACACTATGAACCCAGGATGCTCTGAGAAAGATGAATAACTTCATTGCCTTAGAAGTGCACAGAAAGAAAATCTATCACAACGTTTTGAGAGCCTGTGTGTTATTTTATGGTTGGTGATTAAAACTAGAGGGTCTCTAATGAGTACCACAACTCAGAAGGATTCTGCAAGCAGACAAGCAAGAGGCAGGTGAGATCTACACGATGGATGATTATCCTTCAAAGAATTATTTTTTGAAAGAGAAAATTTGATCCCGTGTCAATATTTTTTTCAATATTTTAAACTATAGAACACTTTATTCATGCATACATGCACTTATTTATTCATTCAAGTGATAATGTTTTTTTAGTGTTGATATAAACAAGATACTGTGGGGGAAGGCTCCTAATATAGTAGGTATGGTCACTATTGTGAAATGAAATCTTACAGAGAAATCCAATATGCAAGATAGACAAAAACATAGCTGCTTTGGTTGAGATAGGAACATGGTCAGTTTTGGGTGCAGCTATGGGGAATCTAATCTCTAGACAGCTAAAGTGAAATGAACTGTTTTTTATCAATAAAAATATTTTCATACATATTCACTACATACACATACAGTCAATCTTAATAATTTACAGACTTTTTTTTTTTTTGCAAATTTTCTGAATTGCTTAAATTTATTTGTAATCCTTTCATTAATACTTATGGTGTCCTGTGGTCATTCATGGACATGTGCAGGCACACAGAAGCAATACATTTTAGTTGCCTTATAAGTATGACCCCAACAGAGGTCAATCATTGCAACACTCTGCCTTCTTGTTTCAGCTTTTGTATTGTAAACAAGTGTCCTTTCGATGGTCTATTTCATGCTTTGTGTTGGCAATTGTGATGTTTAAAACAGCCTTTAAGCAAAGTGTTGAAGCACTGTATAGTGTTTCTAAGCTTCCAAAGGCTGTGATGTGCATTGTGGGAAAATACATGTGTTAAATAAGATTTGTTCAGGCATGAGTTATAGTGCTGTGGAACAAAGTTCAATGTTAGTTAATAAACTATATGTGAAATAAAGTGTCTTTAAATAAAAACACAAAAAGAACAATGCTGTATATTGATCAGTTGACAAAACTGTTGTGACTAGAGGCCCACAGGAACGTAACCTTCTATTTCCCATAGGAGCATCAGTCAGTATTCACTAATTTAGTGTTCATGGTGATTCTAAAGACCATAACTGCCTTAAATATTGAGACTTGAGTCTGTGTGTGTGTGTGTGTGTGTGTGTGTGTATGCATACAATTGCTTTTGTCATGTCTAATCCTTCCATTATCATTTTGCAGTTTTCTCTTTTTTAGTAAATTCTTTGTGTAATTGCTATGTTATAATAAAAGGCGATATGCTTATCATATCCCAACGTGCACAATATGAAACCTACTGCTTTGTCTGTGTTGACAGTACATTTGTAAAATGAGACCCTGCGATAATGATTCTGGAATTCGTATGTGGTATGTGTTATTTCTTTAAGTCACAGTTCATGCTAGCTAGGTTAATATTAGCATTTCCATTTGAAAAGTCTACAATAATCAAACAGATGCATCAGGATTTTAAACCATTTCTCTCTTCAGATTCACTCTGCATTCACAACGTACCTGTTAGAAGAAAAAAAAAAGTGAGCCAGCATCTTTAATATTTGCAACTCATTGGCAATTGTTAATACATAAATGTTGGCTATTTCATTTCATTTTATTTTTTTACTAAAAATACCTTGAATATCTGAAGTTCTTCTAGAATTACTTCTTCCATTGATTCTGTTTCTTGGTTATAAATCGTGATTACTTTCAGTACAATTCCATTATCTGTAAGAAAGCAAAAGAAGAGATAAACCAGAAGCTTATCACAATCTGGTTTTCAAACAATTAAAAACCATGCAGCACCTATGAATTTGAATAAGATTTGAGATCTAGATGTATGAAAATTTTACTCATTGTTAGTTAAAACAATATGACCACTCATACATTCATATTTTAAAATGGCAAAAAAATAAAAATAAAAAGGGCAAAAAATAACTGTATGTCTGGCTAAGAAATAAGACCAAATAATATGTAATTATTTTTCAAATAATGTGATTCAGAAACTCAATTAAAGACTGAGAAATCAAAATATATTAATATATATACAATTATATCTGGTACTATATTACATATATATACACTTTTAGTAAGAAAAACGTCAGTATATACTACTGAGAGAACAGCATAAGTCCTCCCGTACTAATCATTTAACTTCTGTAATTATGAATAATTTTATAAATTTAAATTCATAATTTAAAATTTCACCTAATTTTTATTATACTTGATATTCTGAGCTTGTTCTTTCCAATAAAAATTTTAATAAGACACTAATTTGCTTGTAAGAATAATGTGGTGTAGTGCTAAAAATAGCTCAGGAAAATAAGCACTTTGAAGGTGCTGGTCTAAGAATTTGTATGGTATGTAAGCAGTTTGTTTAAAAATTACCAAATCATGAGGGTGGGTTAATAAAATTTGATTAAAATAAAATGAGTAAAAATTACCTATATAATACATGAAAAGGAATCCAAACTATAATTTTTAAGCCAAGAATACATAGCACCTTAAAATTATTATATCAAGCAAAACACAAAGATGAAACTCAAATTATTAATTTGCAACTAGTGACTTGCAATAAAGACCCTTCCTATATACAGTATTTTATACACACCCACACAATATTAAAGCACAGGGAAAAATCATTATCATTTGTGAGATTTTCCAATGTACTCACCACACATTCATCAAATATCTTCTTTTGTGTTGAAAAGCTGTGGCTCAATATGATGGTATCTTTGAGTTAAAAATCATTTACATGATAGCATAAATATTTATCTGATATTTCTGGAATTCTCTCAAATAGCTTTGGTCAATCTAACAAGAAAGTATTTCTAAAAACAGTCTTGGACTGATATACTGTTTATGACCGGTACTTTTCCAGGTCATAAATATGTTAAAAATAACATACCTTTTCCCATGATTAATTGTTATCAAATATTTTTCTTACTTATGACTCTTGAAAAGAAAAAGCTCTATTAATGTCACTATGAGTGAATTCATGGCCAAGTAATTTGAAGTCTGTTAAAGAAACGTGACACTTTGTTAATCTTGAATCTGCAGTGCAGAGAATATCATGAACATTAACCTCCTAAAATAAGGATAAAATACAGCCTACACCAGAGATCAATTTCTGCAAATCAGATGAAGGTTTCCTTACTGAAATCTTTACTTTTTAAAAAAGTGTGAGTGGAGAAGCCCAAGCACCAATATTAGTATCATATTCTGGTTCCTGATCTAAGTATATGCAATGTCTCTGTAGAATTATGTCTGTGATTAAAGTTACGTATGGTAGGATGCTTACTCTTCTAAATACCAACTGCTATAGCAATGATTATAATGTATATAAAAAAAAAGAAATAATTTAAAAGATTTTTTAAATGTCTATAGAGTTTTAAAGTACTTGACAGAATTTTTATCTATTATCCAGATGCCAAAAGGTTCAAAGATTTCAAATTCTTTTCCACAAGCTATATGTATGGAATTGAAGTTATATATTTATTTGAAAATGTCCCTTTTCAGCATATTTATTGTTTTATTAATGCAGGATATTATAGCTTTGCTCTAAAAGTTTGCCTCCATTATGGGTAACAAATGGCCCATTTTTGTACAAATGGATGATTCTGATGGGGCCTGATAAGCAGTGTTGTGATTATAGACTCAGGTGAAGTTACTGTCCCAAGCTGTTTAACAAATCTTGAGACCTTACTTAACAGCCAAAGGTGGGAAGGGATCTGGGGACTGAGTGCAGAACCATCCTTGCTATGGCAGCCTACTTCCTCTAGGAGAAGTTCTGTCTGGAACCAATGCTGTTTATGAAAATCAATTAATCCTAATCCATTTATTCAAGGATATTGACTGTGTATCAGGAATTATGGGCTGTAACCGCCTCAAATCCTCTCTTCCACTGCAGAGAAAAAGCAGTGTGCAGGGGCACTTGGGTGGCTCAGTTGGTTAAGTGTCTGACCTTGGCTGAGGTCATGATCTTGTGGTTTGTGATCTGAGCCCCATGTTGGGCTCCGTGCTGACAGCTCAGAGCCTGGAGCCTGCTTTAGATTCTGTGTCTTTCTCTCTCTCTCAAAAATAAATAAAAACATTAAAAAAAAGCAGTGTACAAATGGGCTAATGGATTAATAGATTTGTTGATAGGTTTTAAAAATATTAATAATGTTAATGATTTTAAGATTCAGTACATGCGTCTCAGTACTTTGTAATCTCTTTACCTGTCCCAATAAACAAGACATCATATTGGCCATCCTCAGCTTCCACTCGATCCACTGCTATTTGTTTCAGGTTATATCTTCCATCTGTTTTTACCAGGATTGGTTTTTTATGGGCAGGTTTTATGGGCTGGTACATAAGTGGATGGCTTCTTGCGAATCGGATGGCTTCATCAGGATAGTCTTTGGTAGTTCCGTATCTCCCACCATTAACTTTGCTGGCACACTGCAATACAAGTGGATAATATTTTTGTCTTACGCATAAAGAGCAAATTTGCAATCAATTATGAAAACAATCAGAAAACTGGATGTGTTCAATGAATTAACTGCAGTTAGAAATACTTAGTAACCACATATCCTTCATTAGAGAAATAAAATCTGCATTAACAATTGCAAATAAAGACTGAATCATCCCAAACATGCAGCACTAGAAAAATACAGAAAGCAGTGATATCTTGGGAAAGTGAAGTATATTTAATACTGTACAATTTGAAGGTGGTAAAAATGAATATCATCATAAATACTTTTATTATTTCCCATTTTCTGAAAGTTTTAAATTTTTTCACATTGTAATTTAAGTTTTGAAGATAAACTATGTATTGTTTATAACAGAGCAAAAGCCTCTTTGTTGTGCTAAATCCTCCTCCCGAATTAAGGATCACAACTGCACAAAATAGTTTTCCCATTATTGAGACTAAGATAATATGATTGGTGATGGTTTCAGCAGACTCACTGACTATACAATCTTGGTGCTGTAACAAAGAAAACTATTTAAATTCTGTCAGTGTTAATTAAGAAAAAAAAAAAACCCTCTCCATTCTACTGTAATCTGCATGAATTTATATTATTTCTGTATGGATTCAACACAATAAATTGAGAAAGTGAGAAATATTTGCAAAAACATGCTTAAATTCTTAATTTATTGACTCTAAAAATAAATGTTCAACAGCACCTAAGTAACTTCTTGGAATACCTTTAAGTGTGTTGATTCATGCTTGTTATTAAGCACTCCCTTATTTCGTATATTTCCCTCCAGAATCAGCAGCAATTGCAATGATTATGTTGATAAAGAATTTTCCACTTTAGAGTATAAATACAGTAGTGTAGTAATCAGATTCTGCAAAGAGGGCATTTTTAATGGTCTGTTTTAAAATTCAGGTCATATTTCTTAATTTGGCCTGAATTTTTCACTGGAGTGTACTTACATGATACATAATTGGAAACATTCTGGACCAGCCTGGAAGCAGTTCAGTAACCAGTCACTTCCTCCAAATCTCCTTTAATACCATGTGGTTTCAAGAAGCATTTCCAGCAAAGCCACAGGAGTGGGTTTTCTCCATTTAAATTGTAATTTCAATCAATAGAGTGAAATAAAGTATACTTTATGTCTTACTGGAAGTAATAATTTTAAGCTAGTGAGAATGATTGAAATGGTAAAGCTTTACACTTGTTAATGGAGGTAAGGTTTGTTTCCACTTTGAATTTTGGCTCTGCAAAAATGGTTTCTACTTGACTTGCAAGTACTTGTGGAATGAGCACAGCGATGGGTTTTCACCAGCTGCTCAAGACAAAGTGTAGACTTTTGACTTGTATGACAAGTTAAATGTTTGTTCTCCGTGGTCTGTGAGCACATACAATGAGCTGACATTTTTCCAACATAGTTTTGCACAGGACACATGACACAAATTCATCATCATTGTCATCGGCATCATCGTTTTTAGATACACATGTAAGTAAAAGCACAAAAGCTTGGCTAATCAGGGAGAATGTCAGCAGCATGAGTTCACAGGTGAGTGGTGAAACTTCTGGAACTCTAGGAGCACTTTTGTATTGGCATTTTCCTTCTAAAAGCCAGGAAGGATGCTGAATGAGATGCTAAGTATACTGGTAAGGTAGAGAAAAAGCTTAATTCAGTGATGCTAAAGTGAGAAGAAAGGAGAAAGTGTGGCTGGGGGAACTTGGAGGCTGACTCAAATATTAGCATGTGAATACATGGTAACTTTCTCACGCTTGGAAATTCTATGTGGCACCAGTTCTTCTGAAGAAATGGAGGAATAGGATACTCTCTTTACTGGATGTTTCTGTGTTCACCAGTTATCTCAAAAATAAATTTTCTTTTGGGGATACTTAGCCAAAATATCAATGACAATCTATAATTTATCAGGCTGCTTAGATGTTCTCACTAGATTTTTTTTTCCATTAAATAAAAAGCGTACAACCAGATACAAGAAGTGGTATTTCTTTACCATGCAAGTAATGAAGCACATTTTTAGATGTAGAATTTCTTAATTGTTTAATGCAAGTTTTGTAAAGCATCTGAAACACTGAATAAAATATTACTAAAAGAGCCTTTAAAACCTAAGAATACTTTGTTCAATGTCTAAACTTACAGAACCAGGTCTTGGGTAAGGGACTTTTCCTTCATAGAGTGACCAGTGGTATTCAGGTCCTTCCTTATGTGCATATGGTCCATTAAAGGCTGCCCGGATGCTAGACATATGATAGACACATATTGCATGCCCCCTAAATATGTTACTGGAAAAAAAAAGATAATTACTATACTGGAGCTGACTAGCAGTCATCTAATCAAATCCTTCAGACTACAGAAATAAGGGTAAAGTCTTTTGGATAAAACAGTTGCAACATCTTAAGTATAGGATATTCTACAAAAATGAACTACTGCAATACTTCAAGTACTGGAACTCTAAAACTTACCGTTTCTTTACCTTATTACAAGAAACTGAAAATGGCACTGTTAGACTAAAAAAAGTGACACTTGTCACCTCACTTTATTTCTAAATCTTACATTGTGTCTTTATATTTTTTATTAAGGAAAATATCACCTGAATATTTAAAAAGATTCATTCCCAAGTTGAATTACTCATTTTTTTAAAGTTTATTTATTTTGAGACAGGGAGAGAGCATGAGCAGGGGAGGGGCAGAGGGAGAGGGAGAGAGAGAATCCCAAGCAGGCTCCGTGCTGTCAGCACAGAGCCCCATGCAGGGCTCCATCTCAGGAACCGTGAGATCATGACCTGAGCCAAAATCAAAAGTCAGATGCTTACGTGACTGAACCACCCAGGTGCCCCTGAATTATTCATTTTAAGCTTTATCTCCTTGTATGCTGTTTCATATTCTGAGTGACAGTGCTCACCTAATCACTACGCTGTTAGTATTGCTAATTCCGTTCAAATTTTATTTGATTTCTCAATGTATATGATTAAATAACAAGTTAAAGTCTCATGAAACTTTGGGACTTTGTTCCATTCTTTGTTAGGTCATACAGGCATTAATAAGCTTGCTGTATGTTCCCTTCTCCAGTGACTTCCAGGTCACTGAAACTGCACTAGAGTGGAAAGATGACTGGATTACACTAGATTAATTTTGGGAAAATGACTTAAATTGTATAAAACTCAGAATCTTTACCTCCAGAACTATCAGCAATTAGAATCATTTTTTTAAATAAAAAGTTCTACTTATAAAGGATAAAGACACCAGTTGACTACAATGGGTTTTACTGGGGACATTTGTGATAAATTTCTGCAAAAAGGACATTTTTAAATAATTTGTTTTAAAAATCTGGCCACATCTCTTAATTTGGTATTATCTGAACAAATTCAAACATTTCCCCAGCCTCCTCACTGTGAGAAGCAAAATAATTAATGTTTGTGAAAGTGCTTTCAACACATAGTTTCAACAACACATAGTTCTTTATAAACGTAAAAGTTCCTATACTCTGAGACACCTGTAGAGCAGCAGTTATGTTACTGTCTTAGGACATCAATTCACACATTTTATAACACACCTTGAAGCAATTGGAAATGCCTCCGATAGTGAGAAAACCAGAGATAGTCTCCCAACTAAAGTGGCAATAAACCTTTGATCACTATGCTACAAATATCAACCTTTAAGTCAGGTAACAGCTGGGACACCTTTTCCTCAGATTTATGTAAAAAATGAACAGTCAAAATTGAAATTATGGGAAAAAATAATGTGTTATCTTTGAAATCTAGACAGTTCCATTATGCTATCATTTAGGAAAGTACCGTACAAAGTGATCATACTAACCTGTGGAAAAACTATTCTGGTTATCCCATAGCTTTTATTTATTATAAAACCATGGGATTAGAATGCAACGTCTAAATTCCTTACAGGCATGAAAGCAAAGATGAAGTTAAAAAAAAAAAAAAGTGAGGACTGTGGACTGTGACAACTTCCAATCTACATTCACTAATTTTCTTTGCATCAAGGAAGAACTGATAGCAAAATTGTTTCCATATTTCTCTGCTGAAGAGAAGGTCTCCTTACAATTGCACAATATTTATCAAAAGAACTTTATTATTTTTTTTTCAAAGTGACCATAAGAAATCACCTGCTGAAAAAAACAAACAACTTTGTGGAGAGATCGAGAACAAACAAGGTAAAAATTACAACATAGCTGAAGACCAGTGCAGTGCAAAAGAGGAAGTGAGTTCTGGCATTCTATACTTGTCTAGAGAATTGAGGGATATTCTTTACTTCTCATTCCAGTCATTTCGGCTCCAGTCTCTCCTATCTGGAAAGACACACTCAAGAAATTATATGTGTAAACTTTCAGCCAAAACTGATGCTAGTAATATTTTTTCATTCATGTACTGCCACACATGAAGTAGTATTTCATTTTTACCAACACTCCTCAATGGACATAAAATAAAACATGTTAAAGAGAAAAGTAATAGATTCTCGGCCCTAAACTTAAACATCTTATTTAAATTTAAAACATGGAAAGCAAATCATAAATACATGTTTTCTGTGAATCCACATAGGACTGGGACAGCCTGAGTAAGAGAGTGAGCATAAGAGAGAGTGCTCTATTTAAGAGCTCTTGATTAAGGAATCAAGGAGTATTTCTTATAGATGGCAACTGACAAGTACTGGTGAACTGATATAAACCAGTGTTGGAAGACAGTCATTTAAAGCAAGAGAGGTGGGTAAATAAAATCATAGTGATGGGACCCATGGATTCGGTCAAGGTATAATCTAAAAAGCATAACATAAAATCATTCTATTGTAGGTCAGAGAGGGAGGAAATTAGGATACTGAGCACAGAAGGATGCTGGGGTGCTTCAAACAGACATGCAGATCTGAATTGAGATCATGGCTTTAAAAATGAAAGAAAACTAGCAAACATGAGAACAAAGAGAAATTGGTGACATAAAAAAGAGACAATGACAATGACAATGGGTCAACAGTATTTCCAACTTACATACAGCATGAAAGGGTAAGGCATATTTTGTTTCATAATGTTTTTATTGACCATATGCATTTCTCACCTGGTAGTGTTAAAGAGTCCAAATATCACTGGGTTCTTAGGATCTCTGGTATGTAGCAAGAAAATATCCTCTGAAAATTAAAGTCCATTACATTAGTATTTGTAGTCCTCTTTGCATGTAAAGAAAATATATTGACATAAAGTAGCTAAGAATCCATTACAGATATAAGATATCAATGTCTTTCCATACACGGTCATACGACCCTGACCAAATCACAAAAAAGCGAAATACTTGGCTATTCAGGATGACTCTGAGCTGGGCCTTACGGAAGGAATGAGGTGCTGACTGTAAACTACACAGAGGAATCTCCTGTTTCTGCAACTCCTTTGACCCCACCATGTGGACCTGGCCAAAATGAGAAGAACGGAAACTTGCACACTGCAGGAAGCAAGTCTCCATAAGTGAGATAGTGAGGGTTTACCGAGGGGAACAAACATCAAAGAATAACATTTAATTCTTTCAATTCAGTAAGATTTACCTAATTCATCAAAATATGTGTCAATTCCATTCATTCCTGGTACTGAGCAAACGAGTCTTGCTTTGAGGAATGTGCTCCACTTATTGACCAGTATTCTCTGTCCTCCTACATCATTCTGTGACAAACAAAATCATGCAAATGAGTACCAAAAGAACTTTTTAACAACAAATTTTGCAAAATTAAACAGGCAGATGGCAAGAGTTGTAGCTTTTTTATTTAATCTGGAAACTGGAGCCTAATACTCAAATAATACCACAGATGCATTTCCCCATAAACATTCTTTGAGATTTCCACCTTCCGCCTGGTTAGTATACTTTTACTCTGCCCATTAAATATACTTTCCAGGTGTTAAAGAATGCTAATAGACTGGTGTTTCTTATATAAAGCACTGGTAACGGTAACCATCAATATTATTTTACTGATAAATACGGTATCATAATACGGTAACCTTCAATATTATTTTATTGATAAATAATCTGCTTATCTCAGAAAAAGCACCATTATTTTTTTCTCTTAGAAAAATCTTGAATTACATACACATACATATGCACACACCATACCTATATGTTTGCACACATATATACACACAAATGTACATCCATGGCTATACATATGTATTTATAACTTTCTTCTTCAATTTATTCTGAAATATCAAAGTAACTTAACAGCTGTAATATTATTAGCAATCTGTCAATATATATTGCTCCTTCAGTTGATTTTGAATGTCTCCCAACAGCCTATCTGTTGGTTAAGCGTCCAACTCTTGATTTCAGCTCAGGTCATGATCTCATGGTTTATGGGACTGAGCCCCACATCAGGCTCTGTGATGACAGTGCAGAACTTGCTTGGGATTCTCTCTCTCTCTTTCTCTCTCTCTCTCCCCCCACCCTCAAAAATAAATGAATGTAAAAAAAAAAAAAGCAATATCAAACCTTCAGGAGATGTGAAGTATAATTATTAGACGGCAAATACTGATTTTAGGCAGCCTACAGAATGCTAGAAAGTATTTTATAGTAGAAAGCCTACTGGGACACCTAGGTGGCTCAGTCCATTAAACATCTATCTCTGGATTTTGGCTCAAGTCATTATCTCGCAGTTCGTGAGTTCAAGTCCTGTGTCAAGCTCTGTGCTAACAGTGCAGAGCCTGCTTGGAATTCTCTCTCTCCCTCTCTCTGTGGCCCTCCCCTGCTCACGCTCTCTCTCTCTTGCTCTATCAAGTAAATCAACTTACAAAACTTAAAAAGAAACTTAAAAAATAAAGGAAAAAAAAAAACGAACAAATGACCAAGGCCTGACCATAAATTGTGAGCTAAACACACGGATGAGAGAGAAAGGCGGTCCTCACCACACAGAGTCTCCCCACTCTGGTGTAAATTGCATGGGCACTGTTTTCTGCCTCTAGGGCCTTCTCGGTAAAAAAGAAATACACTTTGTTGTCATCTCGGTCTTCATTGTCAGGAATCATATATGAACCTACAAATTTTGGTTCTACAGGTATAAAAAGGTAGAAGAAAAGTAAAACAACTATTACAAGAAAATGACAAGGTTATTCTAATATATTACATATCACACAAACACTTCAGCGTAACTTTCAACATTTCATGAAGAAATAAAGTTATTTCCTTTAAATGTTGTATGCACACTAAAATCATGTAGATATCTCCATTCTCTTTGCAAACTAACATTTTGTTTGGAACTATCAGAGGCAATTTTAATAGGAAAATAAGAGTCACGAAAGGAAAAATCAGTTTGAAACAGCATACCTTAAAATTCATTCAAAGAACAGATTAGGGGCATGAGGGTGATCATCTGCATAAATTTCCTCCCAAATATATAAAAAGTCAACATAAATACCTAATAGAGAAGTTTTAATAGAGAAGTTTATCAATTTTTTAAGTTTATAGATTATCTATCAGGGTAGCTCATGGAAGACCATTTTAAGGTAGCAAATGTATTTTAAGTCTTTCTGTTTGTAGTCTAGGGGATCTGAGTGAACCCCCTTGACTGATACGGTATGTCAAATATTTTAATGGTAACATGCTGCCAGTAATGACTAAAGGTTAATAAAAAGGCTAAAAATAACAAAAACACTATTAAATGATACTTTAATCTCTGGATAGGTCAGGGTGCCCAAATATAAACATTATTCCTTATAAAGAATTCTATCAATGAATGGCTACTGATTTTCCTAGGGTTTAATTTGTCTCTAAACACAATGTGATCCTATTAAAACAAGTAAAACAATGGAATCAATTCATCCAAAATTATACCAACTGACAAGAGAAAACAAAGCTACTTACTAGATGAATGGATTTTTTTGCTTTTCATGTATTTAGTTGGTTTTCTCCATTTAAATTCTGATTTCTACATATTGTTATGGGGGTAACATGGTTTTATAATAATGTCAATCCATTTTGATATAAAATGTTATATGTATATTGCAGATTTTCAAGAACACTAATAAAAAATGCTGAAATTTGTAAAACACTATCAATGGCATTTGTATTATTACTATTATCAAAACATGGCAAGTTTCTCATGAGTTCTAGACTTGTTTTCAGTTCTGATTTACATACTCTTTTCTCCTCAACCCCACCTTTTAACAGGCGCTCGTCGTCATGCTCGGTGCGAATATGAGCCAATCGACCCATGCTCCGGAAGATCGCGGCATCTCTGCCCCAGTAGTCACTGTAGAGGCCAGCAAACAATTCACTACCTACAGGGAAACGTCAGTTAAAAAGAAGTCAGTATTTGTTTCTGGATCTGACGGCCATATATAAGCCACAATTACAGTAAACATATCCAGGTTTACTGCACATACAACCTATGGAATTAATATAAGAGCATGGATGGTATATTCATATTGCCAGGCTTGGAATCCTGATTCGACCACTTACTAGCTGTGTGAAATTGGGCTAGGTGCTTAACCTACCTGTGTCTCAGTTTCCTCACATACAAATAGGAATAGCACTCAAAAGTATTATAAAGAGTAAAGCACTTCAAAGAATAGCTGACATATACTAAGACCTATATGAGTATTTGATAAGTAATGTGATTCATCTTATTTTATTAAACTTCTTTTAGCCTTCATATGAAGGTATTATTATTATTGGTACTATATGCAAGTCAGCTCACTCGAATCCTTGGAACAAGAAATTGCTTCCATTGACATAATTTTATTTTTCAAATTTTTTTTAATGTTTACTTTTGAGAGACAGAGTGTGAGCAGGAGAGGGACAGAGATAGGGGGAGACGCAGAATCCAAAGCAGGCTCCAGGCTCAGAGCTGTCAGCACAGAGTCTACCCGGGGCTCGAACTCCTGAACTGTGAGATCATGACCTGAGCTGAAGTTGGACACCTAATTAACTGAGCCACCCAGGTGCCCCTCTTATAACATGATTTTAATGTAGGAACCACAAAGTCTGACAAAGTCACATATAATATGATTAGTTATCATTTAATTTTAAGTTTGTGGCTTAGACAGGAATGGCATAAAGAATTTATAACTTAATCAGTCAGAATGAATGAAGTTGGCTCTAACATGCGGTGGAGGTCCCAGACTAAAATCAGACCAAGGAACCACAAATGTATGGTTCCTTGAAATGACAACGTGTCCTTGGTTTCAAGAAATGACAATGTGTCCTTGCAGACAGCCAGAAAGAAAGACATTAAAATAGCTTATGAGAAGGGAATAAAAATAACAAATAGAAAAATAACATAAAGATACAGGGAACTGAGGAAGACCAGCACGTATCAGGGACTTGGAGTTCTCTTTTGTCAAAGGGACAACAAAAGATAATCAGTGTGCCCATGAGTGATGCCAGAAGGATTGTCCCGGGCCTATGCCTGGCAAATAGCTCTGAAAAGAAGCAAATGAGAGTAGCAGAGAAGCAGTAACCTCAATTTAGGGTGGTAAAATTCTTATAAAGAATATAACTCTGGTAAGGTTTAAAAATATATAACTGATGACTATACTGAACTCAACATACTAATGTTTTTCTGTGAAATAAGGAATGTGTACAGATATGTGTACACATGGTATTTGAAGTGCTTTACATGTAAGAGAATTGAAATGAATTGTATTTTTATTTAATGAATTTAATTGAATATTTAATTTTAGAATTAGAATTATTAAACTTACAGGTATAAAGATTTAACCAAGTATATAAACAGAATTTAAGAGAACTTGATATCATGTTTATACATTTTATTAATTCAATTTAAAAAATTATTTCAGCATTTATAAAGGGCTTTTTCTAAGTTAAGGCCTTTAAAAGTCTGAAAAATCTTGAGTAGACTATCTTTGTATGGTTGAAAATTTGGAAGAGCAATCAAATATGTTGTAAATAGGACACTTTACAAAGGAGTTTATTTTCAACTTGAGTTAACTGAATTTTTAAAAAGTGAAAATAATTGCTTTTGTTTTACCAGATTTAAAAAATAGAATAAGGAGATACAAATTCAATTTGAAGGCTTGAGAAAAATAAGTTTTCAGGTATGTTATAATTATAAATTAATTTTCATTTATACAGAGGCAAGGAAATAGTTTTTTGTTGTTTTTGTTGTTGTTGGTTCACAAAATCCACTATGAATACTTAAATAAATATAGGAAATACATAAATAAAATCCAGGTTTCCCACAAAGGAATTCACCTTTAAACTATACATAAATATAAAAAGAAAGAAGAGAGACAGAGGCAAATGTGGGAGAATATTAATAATTAATGAATCAAGGTAAATGGTATAAAGGTGTAAATTTTATTCCTCTTTCAATTCTTCTTTGTATTTGAAAATTTTCAAGATAACAAGTTTAAAGAAAGCTGTATTTACTGATTTCATCTCATATACTCAAATGTATACTAAGTGAGAGGTGTGATAGAGAAAATAATAGAAACTGAAAAAACAAAGATGCTTTATATCTGGACTTAAAATATAATTGGATAGAGGAAAGTATTATCAGAACTCTTATTTAAACATAGTCTTTGGTAACAGGGAAAAAAAACGACACAATTTGTATCAAAGTCAGTTAGTGTTATATTCAGCCAAAAGTTATATCTGTATGTAGAGAAGGCATATTTTGAGATAAAATGGTATCAATAGTTAGAAATAGGAACCACAGGTGGGATGCATTCTGCACTACTTGAGCATGGATAAAATGTTAAATTCATTAAAAGGCCTTGGGGGAACATTATGGCCTAAATGAATGAGTTGATCCATAAAAGGGTTAACTGACTACTGAACCACCAGAGTGAGGATTTTTCTGAAATATTTTTGTTGTTAATTATTAAACTTCATGATATTCCCCATATAAAATATAAAGTCCATTTTATATAGTTATTCTAAGCAAAACTTATTTTCCTAATATGGGCTTGGCTGAATGCTTTATGCATAATGGGTACAAAATTAGAATTCTTAAAAATCATGATCATTTTCTATTCCTTAAGCTTTTAATATTTGATTTAACTTAGTTTCTCAAGCTATTTCTAGAACTCTGATATTTGAAAACGCTATTATATGAATATAATCTTATTATTTCACATCAATTTCATTTCATTCACCCAGTCTGAAACACTGTGTCAAAGTTTTACTTGTTTTAATCAGTTTTACCAACTTAACAAACACGTACCCCTTGGAGCCACTAGATGGCAACCTTAGGATAGCAAACACTACTATATCCAAGGCAGGTTATCTGCACAACGGAAAAGATGATAGATTACCAATTTTACCCAATTTCCCTTTTTGTATTCAGATAAAAGAAAACAGTTTGTGAGCAATCCAAATAACACAATATGAACTGTATGACTTGAACTTCAAAGAAACCAGACAGGTGCTAAAAAACTATGCTGTGTAAAACTGAACCAAATGTGTTTCTGTTGGAAATGTTAGGTTTTCCTCAGAAGGGAAAGATTCTCCTTTCATAGCTTATTATCATTGTAAAGAACAAAATAAATCCAGAGCAATAGATAGTAATTATGCTTGATAAAATACTTTCCAAAGGAAAACACTTTAATGAAAAACCATAAAGTAGAATAAGGCTTTAGGCACAAATATTACCTAATAGTAATTAAATGAGCCAAAATATTCAGCATCATTATAATTGATACTGTTTACAACAAATATGTAAACTACATATCACAATATTTTAATCGACAACTTTACTTTAAAATTATAACAATTTGACATAATTAAGATAAATTTGTGAATCAATAGTTTGGTATTTTACAGAGTGCAAAAAATTTCTGGATAAATCGTATTTTCATGGATTAAAAAGAAACATGTCTATAGAGACATGATATTCAATAAACACATTAACTTAGCCAGAAATTTAACTAGTATCTTATCTCTTGTGATATACTGAATATAAATAACCAACTTGATCTTTATGCCATACATTACTTTTCATTTGTTATAGCACTGACTTATATTGGAAACTGATGTTATGTTAATTTTAGATGGTCATGTGTGGTTATAATTAGACAATAGAACATCTGCAGGGTATTCTGACAGGTGAATGAAACTTATTATTGTCATGCTCAATGTACTGTCTTTGTACAGATACAACAATAGTTCTGTCTGCACTGGAAATCTGTCATACTAAGTCTCCAGCTCGAAATCTGCTGTTTGGCTGTGGCCAAACTGTTCAATAGCTCATGGTCTTGGTTACCTGTAAAATCAGAGACCAACATGTAACTTCTTGAGCCTGCCAAGCTTTTATGTTCTCTCTGCCTGGGAATGTTTTGCCTGGAACTCTGCATCTCCTTTCCTGTTTTACCTCCCATACCCAGCGACTGCCCATTCCCTCCATGAAGCCTTCTTTGGCTAAACTTTTGTTAGTTGAGTGATTCCTAGTACCACCACAGCCCTGGTGCCTATTTCTATCATACTGCTCATCCTACTATATTTTTAACTGCTTATATGTTTGGCATTATGTCTCAGTAGAATGTAGGCTTCTTGATATGTCTTGTATATTCTCTTGCACAGCATCTGGAATACAGGAAATGCTCAATCAGCATTTGTTGAATCAGTGAAGAGCATAATGAATTAATAAGTGAGCATATTTAAAAATTATTTTAGGTGTTTAAATTAAGCTCTGAAAATACAATAAGAACACTGAGGACAAGATCCTGATTTCTCACAAATCTTCAGGGAAAAAAAATGATTAGGCATTTATATGAAAAACAGAGTTCCTTGAATTTCTGTTCCTTAAAAAGCTATATTTAATCATTTTAATTCATGAACACAGGGCTCTATTTTCTTCCAGTATTTGTCCCTTATAGTTTCAGCCCCCAAAACTGTGTCTACACTAAATTGCTTATATGAAAGAAAATAAGACAATCATTTGACTCTTGGCAGGATACAAAGTAAATCCAGTGTAAATAATTCCAAGTTACAATGCATCATTGAAATAGTTTTCTACCTAATTCCTTTTTTTACAATACAAACTCTAATTGAAGTTTCAGTTAAACATACTGCATTGCCTTTGTATTTTATGAAAGTTATCAACAGCTTTGCTCATGGGCTGTATACTTACTAATTGATTCAAGATTTTATTCACCATGTTTGAAATACAGATTTTAATTATTTGGTAAGAAAAAATACACAGTTTATCTTCTTAAGATTTACTCAAGCATTTCTCCTATTTATGCTGGAAATGTCTACACATCTAAATAATGTAAAGTATATTTTATATTTGCCTTATGGATAGCACATGGCTGGA